CCTAATTTTGACAATTTTTTATGAGAATATAGTGAATGGAATACAAAATCTGTTTAAAGGTTTTTATTGTACATACTTTGAAATGTATTCACAAATTTTTTTTTCAATTTTTTTTTACAAAATGGCGGTGCCAGAATTCAGCAAAGGAAGCCTCTTCTCACGAATAGTGTTCCGCGGCCAAAAACATAACTTTATCAGATCTTCATTAATTTACTTGAAATTTTAACTGTAGCTTCAAAATTACATTATCTAGAGAAGTACATACAGATTTTAAATTTCATTGTAAACTTTTTTTGTTATAAACAATTTTTCATGTAATTTTTTACCTAAAAATGAAACTTTTTGTTCAAACGTGCATTATTTTTACAAAAACGGTATTTTTTAATTAGCGTACGTATTTCCTGAGTTAATTTTATATAAAATTTAAAAATTTTTGGTCTTTTATTCTAAGTCAAAAATTGCAAGAGAAAGCTTTCCGGCCGCGGACTATTCGTGAGAAGAGGTTTCCTTTGCTGAATACTGGCACCGTCATTTTGTAAAAAAAAATTGAACAAAAATTTGTGAATACACTTCAAAGTATGTACAATAAGAACCTTTAAACAGATTTTATATTCCATTCACTATATTCCCATAAAAAATTGTCAAAATTAGGCTGTTTTTTCGGGCACTAGAGTGGCATTATTCTTCAAGAAGGCGTAGAATCAATATGTACGTAATAAAAATAAGAACATATTTTCTTTGGCGTGTGAGTTTTAAGCTACAGTTCATAACTCTAGTACATAATACTATAATATAAACAATTAATTGTAAATTAATAAAAAAGAATTTTTTTAACAATATTTTACGATTCTAATATTTTACGATAAGAATATTCTAAAAATAGTATTTATTGAATGTAAAAGTCAAAGTTGAAGAGTCAAAGAATATTATACTATTTTAGACATTTGTGCCATATTTATATTTTATACAAAGATGACTATTATAATAATTAAATTTATCAACAATTTCAAAAGTTAAAAAAATTATATACAATATATATGTGAAGAGTTATATATATATATATATATATGAAACTTATATTAGAGTGGCTTTTATTTTATCGACTTCAGAATTTTTTATTCTTTTGTTTTAAAAATTAATTATGGACTGTAAAACTTATAATTTTTTTATCTGGTATTTCGATAGATTAATGTACAGCAGTTTTAAATATATTGATTCACGAAAATTCTCATGATTTCAATATTTTTTTATAATTATTCATAATGGAAAAATATTCTATAAAATTAAAAAAATTTATTATAAATAAAATTTAAAAATTCATTACAAATTGTTATTTTTAACACTTATATTTTTTATTAGATACATCGACAGATTAATGTATGTTTTTACAGCAATGTTAAGTATATTAACTTATAAAATTCATCAACAAATGAGTCCTTTGTAATTAATTAAATTGTTGTTACATTTATTTATTAATATATGACTAAAATAATGAAATAAATTCGAAGTCAGCAAAATAAAAGATACTTTACATATATATATATATATATATATATATATATATATACATATACATATATATATACATATACAGGGTGAGTCATTTTAATCAACGTACGTAATTATTTTGGAAACAAAGCATTTTAAAGAAAAATGTTTCAGACGAAAGTTTTATGATTTCGAGGGGGCCATAAGATGGTATCATTGGTTCGACCTTGGATAGTCATTTGAAGGTCACGTGAAGGTCACTTCAATTTTTTTAAATGGCACCCTCTATTTTTTATTACATATTCTTGTAGCTGACCTCGAGAGCTTTCCATAACTCTATATTTGAAGCCTTTTAATGTAGGACTTCCTGAGATATTTTAAATTTTATATATTATGATGATATTGTTTGGTTTTAAGAAGGCTATAAAGCGGCGTCTATAATGAGATTTTAAAACTTAAAATTTAAGAAATTGACCAATCATATTTATTATTCTTCTTTAAATTCAATTGTAATTGGTCAATTTCTGAAATCTTAAGTCTTAAAGTCCTTGTAGACGACGCATTAGATGGTACCATTGGTTTGACTTTCAAGAGCTAAAAATAAGAAGTGTCATTTAAAAATTTAAATTTTTGAATTAAAATAAATTTTTTAATGGCACTTATTTTTAGCTCTTGAATGGTATCATCTTATAGCCTTCTTAAAACTAGACAACTTTTGTCTAAAACATTTTTCGCTGCCAGGCTCGGTTTTCGAGATATTCGACTGACAAGAGTCATAAATATTGTAATGAAATTTAAAATATCTTAGGAAATTCTACGTTAAAAAAGGTTCAAATATAGCGTTCTGAAAAGCTTTCGAGATAAGTTACAAGAATATACGTAATAAAAAATAAGAAATGCCATTTAAAAAAATGAGATGACTTTCACGTGACCTTCAACTGATGCTTCAAGGTCAAACCAATGGTATTATCTTATGGCCCCCTCGAAACTAAACAACTTTTATCTGAAACTTTTTTTGTAAAATGCATAGGAATAGAAATATTTAGGGTGGGATCTATATATACACGATGAGTTATTAAAATGACTTACCGTGTATATATAGATAGGGTGTTTTATTTTAATTTCTTCAGGCAAATATCCCGAAAAATATGGAAAAATATAAAAAAATGCTTTAGACAAAAGTTGCATGGTTTCGAGGTGGACATATGATGGTGCCACTGATTTGACCTTAAATAATTGTCTGAAAGTTATATTAAGGTTACCTTTAATTCATTTAATAGAATCCTATGTATTGAAAATAGTGGGTTCTATTTAAGAAATTAAAAGTAATTTTAATACTTTCAAACAACTATCCAAAGGTAAACCAATGATACCATGTCCTCTTTGAAACCATACAACTTTTGTCTTGAAATATTTTTTCATATTTTCCATATTGTTCGAGATATTTGTTTAGGGCAATTAAAATAAAACAATATATATATATATATATATATATATATATATATATATACACACACACACACATATATATATATACACACATATATATATATTGTATATATATATATATATGTATATATATATATATATATGTATATATATATATATTCATATTATATATATATATATATTTATATTATTTATATAAATATATATATATTTGACAAATATATATATATGTATATATATATATATAATATATATATTTATATAATAATTTATTATTATACATATTATTACATTTAAAAAAATAAATGTAAATATATTAATATTTATTATTGTTTTTGTTTCAGGAATTTCAGTCAAATAAAAAAAGAAAAAAAGGAAGAAGTGAAAAAAAATTAATCAAGAATAGTATTAAGTAATTAAGTATTAATTAATTAAGTAATTACGTAGTAAATAATTAAATAATTAAGTATTAAGTAGTTAAGTATTAAGTACGTAAGGGCCATTCTACAGTGAGATTTTAAGAAATTGGCTAATCACAGTTGAGTATTCTTTTAATATTTGACTGTGATTGGTGAATATCTTGAGTCTTACGCCTTAAGTCTTCTTAAAATATCATTGTAGACGCCGCTTAAGTAGTTAAAAGTTATTAAGTTTAAATAATTTATAGTAAATTAAGTTAAAATAATTATAATTATTATATTATATTTAATTATATATTTTTATTATATTTGTATTAATTAATTATTGTGTTGTTTTCATATCTCTTCATTTAATTAATTAAATAAATAATTAAGTTTAAGTAATTTATAGTAAATTAATTTAAAGTAATTATAATTATTATATTATAATATTTAATTATATAATTTTATTATATTTGTATTAATTACTTATTGTGTTGTAATTTGTTTTCATATCTTTTCATGTATAGTTATTAATAATAAATAATAATGATAATAAGAACAATAATGGTATTAATGATATAAATGATATATAAATGAAGATCTTGATATTGATGATAATGATATTAATGACAATGAAAATGATGACAATGAGAATGAGAATGACAATAATAATAATAACAAAATGATGATTATATTAATTGTTTTTTTTTTATTAATGTCTAGTAATAACATTTTACGTATATATATATATATATATATATAACACAGCATATGTACATATTAGTATATTAATATATTAATATATTTTTATAAAATGGGTAGACGTAAAATTGTGCTTATTTTAGAAGAAGAAGAAGAATTTCTACAACGACGTCGAGAAAAAAGAAGGGAAAATCAACAGCGCCGTCGTAAAAATAATAAATTAGTTGAAAATTCTTCAAATATAATATCAAATCAACAAATTATTTGTATTACTGGAACATCAAATAATAATCGCATGGTAATAGAATTGAATTCGAAAACTGATGAAAATTCTTCAATTGTTAATTGTCAACATTACAACCATCTGCAGAATATCAAATTCGTTATTGATCACGACAAAAAAAACAACCTCGTTCAAATAATATTAATACAATATTATTGAATGATGTAACTGAATATTATATTGGTCCTACGGATGTGTATTGTATTCATTGTAACGCTAAACATTTTACAGCTGAAAAAATTTCTAATAAAGGACATTCATTTCATAATTGTTGTAATCATGGTGCAGTATATTTACAGTCATTACCTGAACTTCCTGAATTCATTCGTAGTTTATTTAATAGTAATCATGTAAAATCTAATGATTTTTTTCAACATATTCGTAGTTATAATAGTTCATTTTCATTTGCATCGTTTAATGCTAATTTAATTAATTTTCAAGATAGACGACCTGGTCCATATTGTTTTAAAATACAAGGGCAAATTTATTATCAAATTAATACAGCATTATATGCTGCACAAAACGAAAGTCCTACATATGGCCAACTTTTTATTATTGATTCGAATGAAGCGATTCATTATTGTCTTAATCGAAATTCATATTTAGATTTTGAAATTGTACGAAATCTTGACCATATAATGCGAGAATCAAATGTATTTGCTCATTCTTATCAAATGATGGGTGAAGAATTAGAAAATCAACGACATTTAGAAATGGAATCTGGTGAATTATTACCGGAGTTACAATTAGTATTTACTTCAAGATCAGGTATGGATCGACGTCGATATAATATTCAAAGAAACCAATGCAGTTGCTGCTGTATTCTCTACAACAGCTGATGGAGAAATTCCAGAATCATATGTTACAATACGTAATAAAAATACTAAAACTTTACAAAAGTTAGTAATATGGATCCAAATGTAGAACCATGGATATATCCATTATTTTATCCATATGGTACTCAAGGATGGCATTGTGATTTAAAAAAATTAAATAGTGATAGAGGAATAACTAGAGGACAATATATTAAATATCGTATAGTTATTCGTGATAAATTTAATGTTTTTTTATTAGGACGTCGCTTATTTCAACAGTGGCTTGTAGACAGCTATGTAAAAATGGAAAAAGATAGAATTGATTATTGTAAAAATCATCAAAAAGAATTACGTAGTGAAACATATCAAGGTTTAAGAGATTATTTACAAACTACGGCTAATAATTTAAATGGACGTATTGGGAAAATGGTTGTACTTCCTTCCACATTTACTGGATCGCCACGCAATATGTTACAAAATTATCAAGATGCAATGGCAATAGTTAGTAAACCAGATCTTTTCATTACTATGACTTGTAATCCAAAATGGCGTGAAATTGAAGAAAATCTTTTACCTGGTCAACAAGCTTCGGATAGACCTAATATTTGTGCTCGTGTTTTTAATATAAAAAAAGATTATTTAATTGATTTAATCGTTAAACAAAAATTTTTTGGTGAAGTAGCAGCATTTGTATACGTTATTGAATTTCAAAAACGCGGTTTGCCACATGTTCATATGTTAATTACTTTAAAATACAATTATAAAATCACAATTCCGCAAATTGTTGATAAATATATTTCTGCTGAAATTCCTGATCCATGTGAGAGTCGTATTCTACATGATGTAGTTATGAAACATATGATTCATGGACCTTGTAGTGATTGGTGTTTGGTAGATGGACGTTGTTCAAAACATTATCCGAAACCTTTTCTCGTAGAAACTAAAATGGATGAAGATGCTTATCCTTATTATTGCCGACAAAATAATGGAACAAATTTTGAACGTCCTGGTGGATATGTAGTTGATAATCGTTATGTTGTTCCATATTGTCCTACTTTATCAATTATATTTAATAGTCATATAAATGTTGAAGTAGCTTCAAGTATTAAATCAGTTAAATGTCTATATAAATATATTTATAAAGGACATGATGTTGCTGCTATAACTATTGAACCAATAACAAAAAGTGTTGTTATTGATCATGATGAGATACATAATTACATCGAAGCTCGTTATGTTGAAGCTAGCTAGCGTATTCTTACTAAAAAACTACAAGATAAAAGTCACGCTATAACACGTTTACCAGTCCATCTTCCTAATGAGCAAAATATTATAATTGAAAATGAAAACATTGACGATGCAATGACTTCTGCTTTAGATCAAGTTACTATGTTAATAGATTATTTTTCATTAAACTTACGCGATGAAGAAGCAAAACAGTATTTGTATATAAAAATTCCAAGTTATTATACATTTAAAAAAGAGAAAGTTAACGGTAAAAATGTATCACGTTGGATCAAACGCAAATCATTATAATTGTATAGGACTGTAGAATTGTATAATTGTATAGGAGGAATGTATTCCGTTAGTCCAACACAAATAGAATTATTTCATTTACGATTATTGTTACTCACAGTAAAAGGGGCCACAAGTTTTAACGATTTAAGAACTGTAAATGGAGAATTTTGTCAATCATTTTCAGCCGCATGTTTAGCTTTAGGTTTGATCGAAGATAATGATGAATGGAAAAAAGCTATAAATGAAGCTGTTGGATAGATGATGCCACGACAACTTCGTAGATTATTTATACGTATATTATTACATTGTCAACCATTACATCTTGAAGAATTGTGGGAAAACTTTAAAGTAGCAATGTTTGAGGATTATATTTAACATTTTGGTATATTACAAGGACAAAATAAAGCATATGAACAAATTAATAATATGCTTCGTGCTGAAGGTAAAAGTTTTGTAGATTTTCCACAAATGAAACAATTAACAGAAAATAACGAAGAAGAGAATTGCATGATATTTGAAGAAGCTATGGAAATAGGCACCAAACAATATAAACAATTAAATAATAAGCAGAAAGAGATCGTCGATCTTATATTAAATGAATTAAACAATAATATTATCTCAAATAATTGTTTTTATATTGATGGTCCAGGTGGATCAGAGAGATAAAACATATATATACACAACTATCTATTATTTAGCTAGAATTAGAAATAAAAGTGTATGTACAATGGCATTTACGGGTATTGCAGCTACATTATTACCTTTTGAAAAAACAGTTCATAAGATATTTGGATTACCAGTTCCATTATATGCTGATCATCAACTATTAAAATCCAATCAAAAGAAGCACAATATTTAAAAGAAATTGATATTTTTATTTGGGATGAAGCACCAATGGCACCTTGATATGCTTTAGAAATAATGGATCGAACATTACGTGATATTATGAATAATGATATTCCTTTCGGTGGAAAAATTGTTTTATTAGGTGGTGATTTTAGACAACTTTTGCCAATTAAAGTACATGCTACTCGAAGTGAAATTGTAAATCTTTCTATTAAGTTTAGTTCTCTTTGGAAGCATTTCGTAAAATTCTCTTTAATACAAAATATGCGAGTTCTTCCAGAAGAAATTGAATTTGTAAAGGTTTTATTGAATGTTGGAGATGGTACATTAAATGATTTTAATGATAATATACAAATTCCTGAATGTTATATCGTCTATTAATGCTGATATTGTGGAAGATATATATGGTGATTTAATAAGAAAAAAAGAGTTTGTTAAAATGTCTAAATGTGCCATACTTTCTGCAAGAAATGTTGATGTAGATGAAATTAATAAGAAAGTTGTGGAATTATTAGATATAAATGATGAACGAATTTATACAAGTGTAGACACTGTTGTAAATAATGACAATGGTGACATGAGTGAAACATTGTTACCAGAATATTTAAATAGTTTATCTCCATCGTCTCTTCCTCCTCATGAATTACGTTTAAGACCAAATAGTATTATTATGTTAATTAGAAATTTAAGTATCAATGAAGGTCTTTATAATGGCACTAAATTAATGATTATAGAACTTACAGATCATTTATTAAAATGTAAGATTTTAACAGGTGACAAAACAGGAGACATTGTTTTTTTGAATCGTATAACGTTATATTGCGAAAATGTATTTCCTTTTACTTTTTCCAGAAGACAATTTCCAATAAAATTAGCTTTTGCCATGACGATTAATAAATCACAAGGACAGACGTTTGATAGAATTGGATTAGATCTTCGCAAAGATGTTTCTAATCATGGACAACTTTATGTTGCTTTTTCGCGAGTTCGTTCTTGGCAAGCATTAAAAGTTTATCTTGGTAATCAACGAAATAACAAATTTATTAAAAATTATGTATATAAAGAAATTTATATTTAATTTTTTGTTTTTTAAATGTGAAAAAAACAATTTTGTTAAAGTAACAATAATAATAATAATAATTTGTTCAGCGCATATATAAAAATTTTTGATAAATATAAATTTTAATATTGGAAAATTTTACATTTTATTTAAAACTTATAAATTTCTGCTTATAAGAAATAAATATAATACATAATCAGCATCTGCTCAAAATCATTCAATTTCTTTATATGTAATAACTTTTATATAACATATAATTTTTTACAAATTAATAACTCAAGTATATAAATTAATAGATACCTCATGCTATATAGTACATTACAATAAATAAAAATGGAAATCTAGACATTTCGATCTATTTCTTCTTAATAAATTAAATTGTAAGAAAAGTATTATAATATTTTTACATTTGGTATGATGCAACAAAAATATTGATTACGTTGTATGAAAATTTATAACTTTGTGTGAAACTATGTGTGAAAATTTATAACTTTTATAAGTAAAAGTTTTATACTTTAGAGATTTGAAGATTAAAAATTTCATTTTTTTTTTAAATAAAGCTCTTAAAGTGGATCTTACTTTTTTATATAAATTGATTTTGTAATATTTAAACAATTATAAGGATAAAATAAGTAAAAATTGAATAGTTTAGTTTATTATCTATAATTTGCATATTTACTATATGTTTTAAAAATATGTAATTGTAAAATTTTGATTTAAAATTTTTCTAAAATATTTATGTTATCTTGCAACTGTGTTGGCAATTTGTGAATATATTCGACAATTTTTTTTATCATTTTTTATCGGAACATACGATCGTAAAATTAAAATGGTGTAGTGTCAAGTGACTTTTACTTATTTGAAGTGGGATATATTTTTTGTTAACATTTATCGGAAGAAACGTATGTGCTTCTCTAAATTGAGATAAAGTAAGATAGTAAATTATCGAAACTTTATGCAATGTGTAATAAAATGTAATCTAAATGTGTTAAGTATATTACTCTAATCTTTATCTTTTACACTATTACTCTTATACAAGTATAAAAGATAAAGATTTTGAGATCGTGCAAGTTCGACAAATCTAATTTCTGACAATATTTGTATTCGAAAAAAGATCTTATGTTGAATATTGTATTTTATTTATTCGTGAATAAATATAAGAAGTATTATTGCTTATAAAGACATTCGTATAAGACAAAAGATATATCTTCTTTTCTCAATATAAGAAAAATATATTTTATTACTCTCTTAACTTCACTCTTCATTCTCATTGTTAGAATAGAGAATCACAAGTATAATACGGATCGATATATGACTGAAGCAGCAAGGCTCTTGCTTGCTATGCGAAAAGTCACAGGTTCAAATTTTGCTAAGGTTCCGATAAGGCTAGAATTTATTTCTGCTTTAAAGCCGCCCATGTGAAGAAAGAAGTGTCAAATCTTAACTAAATTAAAAATCTATTAAAAGATAACGCAAATCAAGGGATTGAATATTCTGGTAAAGAAAGCGAAGAGCAAAAAATGCAATAATCATCAAGGTAATGATAATAATGAGCAATAAGGAACAATTGTTTTATATTCGATATAATTGCCGAAAGCTATTAGAAATATGTTTTTTAGTGAAAATGATAAATTTTGTTTTTTTGTAAATATTAAAAGAGTATTTAAAAAATTAAATAAAAATTTAAAAAAAGGAGCAAATGTTGATTCTGACGGAATAATTCAGAAGCATTCGTTTAAACTATTGTTTATTAAAAAATATGAATTTCTAACGCTAACTTATTTTCAATCTAACGATCCAACATGTCTTAATATTTATTTTAATCGATTTTTATCAAATATCTTAATTAAGAAATTATCTTAATTCAGAATTTTTTCTTACATTGTACTGATGAAAATTATTTAAATTATTATTTAGAATTTTTCATAAAAATTTTTTATAAAAATTGTAAAAAAAATTTTAAAACTTTCTTTAAAAAATTTTAAAATTTTTCTTCTACGAATTGACACACTTTTCAAAAATTTTTAGAACAAGAATGAAGATATTTCATATTTTTGCTATAAATAAATTTTATTATAATTTCTTATGTATATAAATGTTAAACATTTTGAGATTTTTTTTATTCTATATTTTATTCTATAATTTTATAAAATAATATAATATTTTTAAAAAATTTGAATAAATCTGATATATTTGTTTAGAATTCTTCAAAAATTTAAATAAAAAATTTCTAAATTTAAATAAAAAATCTCTAAAATTTTCTAAAAAATTATAAAATTTTTCTCATCAAGGTGATAAAATTAATATTTATAATTACAATTTAAATTAATTACAATTAACATTGAAGAGCATTTATCTTCTACTTTGTGTATGAAATGATTGCAGTGATGCTAGATTCCGGCCTTTCAGTAGCATGCGGTATCATGGAGGGGATAATAGAAGGAGACAAAACATGTTTCTCTCACTTTTCTCTGCGAGACAGAATCATGTTTTATCTCCTTCTATTATCCCCTCCATGCTACCGCATGCTACCCAAAGGCATCACTGTATGAATCTTCATTTTTTGAAACTTTTTTCATTTATAAATATTGGAAAAAGAGAAAATGCAACTTTAAAATATCAGAATATTACAAAGCATGCGCTATATGTTAGTATTACATAAAATAAATGGAATTAGAAAAGAACCAATAATACTTGCTAATATCAACATACCTCTTTTGAAATATATTGATGTAAAAAAATTTACATATTTTATCACAATATTATAGATAAAATTTTGCTTGTACTCTGCAAAATTAAGATAATTTATTTATTTTATATTTATTAA